TACATATACATATACATAGTACTTCAGATGCCTTGATAGAATTAATTTTATTTCTGTCACAGACTGATGCAACAAATAAGTGTTAATCAAATATATTAGCTTTCATTCTGTATAAACACAAATACAAATGAAACATGACGTTTTCATTTTCAGACGAAGTCAGAAGGTCAAAAGTTCAATAAAAGCAGCAACACACAAACTGTATTACACATTACCTCTTAAACTGAATTTTTTGTAATTTTTCTGGAACTTCTCTGGAATTTGACCCAGAATTTGTTCTTTTTCTGTAAGTTATGATCAGGTACTTCTAGCTTTACACCTCGATAATCTTTTAATCTTGAAACATCTGACTGAAGTGACTCGCTCTGATCCACRGAACATGTTGGGTAACTGATGTTTGTTGTGTTTAAATCAGACTCGGGGTCAGTATTTCTGTCATCTCTGTCTTCTTCAATGAAAAAAGAGACTTCTTCTACAGTTTTTACAATTAAAGGCTTGCTAGTAATGTCAGCATGAATCACCWTTTTTGTTTCTGTTATTTTCTTAACTTTCAGTTTTGACTTCTCTGAAACATGTCGTCTGTCTGCAGCTTCTTCCAATCCTCTGTTTGTTTGAATCGTTTCTKTCTTCTTTTCTTCTCCACTCTCAGCTGCCTGGTTTCTTGTCGGTCTCTCTCTTCTCTCTGATGCAGAAACATCTGGATCTTCATCAGTTTTCTGATTTTTGCTTYTGATTAGTCTCTTTTTCTTGTCTTTTTGTSTGACATYCAATTTAACGTTTCTCAACTCCTGATCTAACCCTTTGTCATAGTCAGGTTTTTTATTTAATGGYTTTCTTCTCTGTGAATGTGGATCATCTGATTCACTCTGGTCAGACTCAAACTCATTCATGCTCTTCATTTCTGTCTGACTGATTTTCTCCTTGTTTGTGTTTCTTTTTGAGGGTTTCTTCTCTTGTTTTGGTTTCTTTATTTTGCTTTCACCAGTTGTGCTGTCCCAACATTCCTGACGGCCATCTTTAACAACTTCTTTTCTCTTTGTTTTAACATTTTTACTTCTCTCTTTGTCAGCCAGTTGAAGGTCAGTATCTTTTGTAGAAGGATGGTCTTCACTTGTGTGCTCATCCACTGAGTCAAAACCAGAATCTGCAGTAACAATTAGTCATAAAATATCCTTCAATTAAAGCAGCTTGATTCGTTCACTTATCAGCTTATTCTCACTGAAATATTTACTGATTCTTACCTTTCTTTCTGTAAAATAGAAGATAGGCTCTGCTGGATCTACAGGGAGAAAAGAGAAAGTAAATTTTAAAGTGTTTACATGTCCATTTGAGGAACGTTTCTGCAACCAAACAATCAAAAGTCAAAGTCTTTTTGTCTGGTATCTCTTCCAGAGGGGAGGAGCAGAGTGAGTCCAGTGTAGCTTATTGAACCTCCTTTATGGTATTTTTTRTTTTATAATGTCTGGATTGCAGTCAGGTTAGTTCAAGTTCAGATTTCTTCACCACAGTCAGCTGTTGTGATTGAAAAGTAGTTTGGCTTCTTTTTTTTAATAAACAAAGTCTTTTTTGCAGTTGATGCAGCTCAGAAGAGAAGTAATTTGTTCCAAGAGTGTACGTGTAGGTGTGGCTGGCGGGGTTGAGTTCTGGTTTGGTTGTTGGGTTTTGATCATAAGATAAGATAAAACTTTATTATCCCGAAGGAAATTCATACTGTAAGCTGCCAGCTGCTTTAAGTCACACAACACTGAGTGGTAAAAATGATTTTAAAGAGGAGAAAACAGCATGTCCGACACAGTGAGAAGTTAGAGCGAGAAGACTTAGCACAGAAAGTAAGGGGTACTAAAATAGAGAAAATAAGCTGTTTGACAGAGACTTGGCAATTTTTTTCATGTGTGCAGCCCACATACTCAGCTCTCACAAATGCATGTTCCTTACAAATGTGGCACCTTTTAAAAGGGAAATCAACAGACTTTCCAATGATATAAGAGTTATTGCCAAGAAGCATTGTTACAAGAAAGAAATAACCTACCAAACTCAAAGATGCTAAGTTTATATACAACCAGTCTAAAGTGCTAATAAGAATAAGGCATTGCACAATACTGTACAGATATAAATGTTAAATATGCTGCAAAAAAAACAGAAATTACACAGCTCCATGAGCCTACATTAGTTATGGGGCAGTAGTTTACAGCAGTGATTCCCAACCAGGGGTATGTGTACCCCTTAGGGTACACGAGCATATTACAGGAGGTACGGGGAAAAATTTCCCAGGTGTGTAAAAAATATATATATATAGGACTGAGATATGCACGGCCCTGTGATTTCTGCAATGTGAAAAATGCAAACAGAATCCCAGAATTGACACAAAATGGAATCAATCTAACATAAAATGTGGAATCTTAAAGAATTTGCTCATTTGAGTGAGTTACTGATATATTTTGGACGCTGCTGCTTCCTTCCTGGTTTATTTATTTTATTACTTATTCACTTTCAAGGCAACATACACTCACCGGCCACTTTATTAGGTACACCTGTCCAACTGCTCATTAACACTTAATTTCTAATCAGCCAATCACATGGCGGCAACACA